TACGTACTACTACTACGTACTACTACGTACTACTACGTACTACTACGTACTACTACGTACTACTACGTACTACTACGTAGTACTACTACTACTACTACTACTACTACTACTACTACTACTACTACGACGCTGCTACTACTACCACTACCACTACCACTGCTAGTCCTGTCGTGATTGCCTTTCGGCACTCTCAAAGCTCGGGCGTTGCACCCTCGGGCCTCTTAATGATGCAAACACAAAATTAAATCTTTTTGCATCTGATCTGACCACATTTTTGTAAAGCTTTGCCCTCCTTCATCATAATTTGTCCTTCGTTGTCTCTATTTGTCTTCATTTGCAAACACTCAAAGTTCAACATGGTCCTGTGAGGGGAAGGGTAAGCCCTGCATAGAGAGCTCTCGAAACAAGACTGAACAACAAGGCAAGGTAAACAAAGCAGAACCGGGACAGTCCCAAGGTCATTTGCTCCTTTTCTCTGTCATTGTCTTCAATGATCGGATCCACTCTATCATTGAGGGGTCACACACGTGCTTTCTTGCGGAGGTTAAGGCTACAAGTACATTCCTAACCCTAGCAGTAGACCCTGAACCCCGAACAACGACTAAACCCGGCCCTAAACCCCAAACCCTGAACCCTGCACCCTCAACAGGTCCTCATCTGCAGCCAGATTTGCCCCAATAAGCTTGACCACACCTTATTGCAAGGCGCGGGGCCCCGGTGATGACCGGGATTCTGGATCTGTACGAATTTTCCCTTACAGAGAACCGTACTATAGAACCCTATAGTACCCCTAAAGGGAACCATATCCTTTGCAGGATTCCAGTGAGGATCCCTGTCTGGGCTAAGACTACTATAGGGGCTCCAGACTGGATAACGGGTTTCAGGATGTTTTAGGGTTTGCGTTGATGTAGAGTTCAGGGTGAGGGTTCGGATTCAGGGACAAGGGTTCAGGGGCTTTGAGATGTCGTGGCTTAGGCCTGCGGAATGGAGTATTTGGGGTGTTATAGGGCTCAGGATCAGGATCGGAGACTCTCTCGCCAGGCTCGTCCTATTCAAGTGTGCAGAACGTGGCGCAGCAGCCTCTCCCCGAAATTTCACCCTAAACCCCAAACCCCAAAACCCTTAACCCAAACCCTAAACCCTAAACCCCTAAGCCCTAAACGTCCCTCAACCCTAAACCCTAAACCCTTAACGTCCCTCAACCCTAAACCCTTAGAGATTCCATGCTTTGCGATGTCGAGCTCCGTAATGTAGGAACCTGATTAAGAAACCCTGGGTCCTTATTAGAGTTCTTTATATGGGTGGTTGTCAAAA